CTCACTCCTCAGTGGAACATAATGCGGGTCGCCCATGGCCACCCTTGGTAGAACAGCCATGCTGGCAGTTTGCATCCTTTTCCTTTGCTGTGACTGCAGCCAGAACTCGACAGCCACAAGCTCTAGTAGTTAATAAATATGCACACAGACCACCTTATCAAAGTTGCTCTCTGCTGACCTTGCTGGGGTTTGTTTGCAAGCACTGCCTGGCAGCAGTCCTTCATTCAGGTGCCTCTGGCTGCAGCTGCCACTCAGGCAGGCAAATTGTTGCCCCTTGCTTTAAAAACACAGTGGCTACTGGTTTGTTTCTATACTATTCCCAGTTTCTGGGTCTACAAGAATGCATGTCCCAGTGGTTTTGCAGCTTGAGGAACTCTATAGAATATATTTGTACTTGCTGGGCTATGTGATTGCTTGAGCAGCCAGCAGTTCTTCTCCAGGAGAAGGAAAGTGTGCTCGGAAAACCAGTCCCTGGAGAGGCTCCCAACAGATGGCAGGAACTTCATGGGTGATCAGCAGCAGAGTTAATGTCAGCAGATAGGCAGGGTTAATAAACTACTGTCTTGTTCTCCCCTATACTCACGGGCAACAGACTGACGTGTTGGACCTTCTCTTCCTCATATCTTGTAGCATAGCTAATTTTATTAAATGTAATCTAGTGAGCATGAAGGTTACAGTGGGGAATGTCTCTTCATATGGTTACTGAGCCTTTGTGGTCTCCTGTGATCCCTTCTGTAACAGGCTGGCTGTGGGTTTCTGACAAAAAGAGGAATCATCAGCTTTACCTGTTATACTAAGTCAGAGCTTAGAGCTGTATTATGTTGTATTAGAGGTATTGGGTCACAGTTCGGTTATCTGAACTGAGCATACAGACCTCTGGCCCATGGCCTTGGACTGTACACAGCATCTCTTCTTGACAGTCCTAACCTCAGTCTTCATGTCAGCCTCTGTTATTGCAGCTCTGGAAGCAAATCAATACTTGATTTCTTTTAAGATTTATTCCTCTTTCTTCTTGAGTAAGAAAGCAGGAAGAAGGTGGGCAGCCCTGACTAGGAGTAACTTCTGGCTCCCAGGCATGCTGGTGACTTAAAGCAATTCCAGCTGGAGGAATGGATTCCTGTTTGCCTTGAAGAGTGTCAAGACAACAAGGACAATCATTTGCATTTGCACACAGCTGCCTCACGTCTTTCCTGAGAGCAAAAGGGTTTGGGTAGTAAAACTGCTCTCAGCTGAAGTGGTTGCCAGTGTCACTCTGTTGATGGCTAACTCAGAGCCAGAAAAGTTATTAATCTGTTTATGTTCTGGGCCCAGCACCAATCACTGGATGGAGCTAATGGCAACCTTGAGAAAAAAAAACAAAGAAACCAAAATTAGAAACAGGCAGAGATGCCTGAGCTGCTGGGCTGTGCTCCAACATCTGGAGAGCACTAGATGCCTGTGCAGCTGGGCAGGACTGCAGCACCAGGCAGCTGCAAGCTCAGAATAAAGAAAAGCACAGTAACTTGCTGTGGATATGTGCAGCCTTGCATGATTTTTCTTGTCACCACTTAGCAGGCAGTGTGGGAGAAAGCATAGAGATTTGTCGCTATGGGTTTCCAGAGGTGGAAGTTTGTCCCTCCTCAATCTTTGCCTGAGGAAAGCTGCTGCTGGAAAAGTCCTAGGGCTGGTGAGTCTCAGAGGCTGGCAGTGGTGGTGCCCAGCACGCTGGATACTGGGCAGTGTTCGGCACTTGAGCAGTGCTCCTGAGCAGTGATCAGCAGTGTTAATGCAGCGAGCTGGAGATGTCCAGGAAATAAACTTAGTCCTCAGTGCAACACCTACTGTAGTGCCTAGACATGATGGAGGTAACTAATCGCATAGGAAAGGGAACTTGTTCCAATACCCTTTTTTTCTGAGCAAATGGCAGGTGAGTGACTCTTTGTGATTTTTTTTAATGCATTAAGTTCTGTACCTAGCTTTACAGTGTTTCTCAGAAAAAAAAAAAGTATATTTAATACTTTTATGAAGGTTAGTGTTTTGCTAAGTTACCTTTGGGACAATGCATATCACTTTTAGATACACATTTTTGTGTGAAAAGTTTCAACAAAACACTGTTTGTTAGCATCAGGGTTTAGGCAGATCAATGCTCTGCTCCAGGATGCAAAAATGAACTCTCATAACTACAAGCCATAGAGCCCTGACAAGGGTTCATGATACTGAGTTAAAATTCAGCAGGCAGAATTCATGTTGAGGGTTAAGACAACAATATGTGTTGGAATTAATAATAAAAAAAAGCCTAATCTCAGGTAAATGCAGGATACAGATAACTAGCATTATGTCTGCCTATAGATAAGGATTTTCAATGTCTGTTTACTGAAATAGTCTATTTTAGTAGGGGGGAGGGAAAAAAAATCTGATTTGGTGCTAATGTACTTTGTTGTTCCTGGAAAAAAAAACAGCAGGTGAACAATCCTGATCACAAATGAGCTTGAAAATCCCTGAGCAATGCAGAGGTTGCCACCCCTCATGCCTGTGGTTTAAACACCTCGCAGAGCCATTACCAGCCACCTCAAGGCGTGATCTCAGAGCACAGGCGGCAACACGAGGATTTGCTGTGCAGTTGTCAGGGATAGCTTCAGTTTTCAGGCCCGCTGGCTGCACAGCCCCAGTGTGCAGCTTGCAGTGCACTAAATCATCTGTTTGCGTTCAGTTTCCTCATGTTACAGTAATGTTGTCTTCAACGGGAGCATTCAGTGCTGTCATAAGCTGAGCTGGTCGCTATCTCCAAGAGGAAAAATCTTGCAGATGTGGTACTCTGATTTCTTTGGCCGCCTCAAGCCTTGAGTTTGGAGGCATTTTTGCAGTAAAGCTGTGTAAAATACTCTTCCTTTGCTGTCCAGGATATGCACTGCCTTATTTTTTTTTAAGCTGCTTTCTTGGAGCTTTTGGCAAGCACTCTGTGCTTCTCGCAGGCACTCACCAAAGCGACACGCTTCCAAACTTCACAGTTTGCCTCAGTGGATTCACACGTGAGTGCGATGAGAGTGAGCCCAAAGCTCCAGGCCAGTGTTGGGTTTCTTATGAACCTGCCTATGGAGGTGATTTTCAAGGCAAATTCACATAGCACTTTCAGAGGTCACATTTTTGCTAAGTAGGTGGGAAGAAAATACTTGTCTGCGAATGTAAAGCCAGAGATTTCTGCTGCTCCATTCCTTTTACTCATGCAGGCTAACTTCTAAAAGTAACCCGTGGATTTTGGATCATTTCTAAGGCTGAGTAACATTTTGCCTCTATAGTTTTGGTGCCTGGAAATAACCTCCATGTCAACACAGAACCTGTTAGTGTTAGAAGCTGTTCGTGTGCAGGACTTGACAACTCTCTGTGTTTATGTGGCTCACTGTGGAGCGCCTGGATTTGGAGCTTTGACGTAATATGGCCTGAGGACTGGAGAATGAGCTCTGGAGCTCAGGCTTTGGACACAAGTCAAGCTCAGTTACCTTGCATTGAGTTTGAAAATGGAATAATTTGCCCAAGTTAAGGTGTTTACTTTCCCATAAGTGTGGTGACCCGTAGCGTACCCAAAACATGTGCTAAACATGAGTGTTTGCGTAGCAGAAGTAGGTGTGTTTTTTCTTTTCCTTTTTTTCTGTAATACCTGTGTGAGCAGTTGAACTCTCAGTGCTTTTGCATCTGGAACATCAGTGATGTAAGAAATGAATTTCATGCCGTTTCAGGCCATAGCGGGAGCAGACATGTCCCCTGCATTGCTGAAGCTATTTGTTCAAGCTGTAGCTGTTGAATTTACAAGTGGATTATAAATGTGAAAAATACTTTTGCTGTTACTCTGTCTATAGCTTTGTGCAGTATTTTTTTTATTAAATTTTATTAAATATATCAGGTATTTTATTAAATATATCAGGTAGGCTGTCTATGAAGTGAGAATTTCTTCATGGAACATATAAATGACATCAAGATACAAAATATATAGATGTGGATATATGTATTCACAATATATATCTGTTGATTCTCAGAGCTCAAATTTTGGTTCAGATTTGGTTGGTGGATTATTTCCACCATTTATAAATGGCTTTGTTACAGAATTCTGCTAACCATGTCTTTTCATACATAGAAAGTGACTTTGCTACATAGGTCACTTCAAATAAATTAAGGAATGAGATTGTTACTAGTTTAAATGTTTTGCAGTGAGTGTGGTTTTAAAATATAGTGCCTAAAATATAATAATCCATAATTTTAAAATGAATGCAGAATAAACAGAATCTGATCCTGTGGGATGTGATATCAAAAAAATCTCAGTAGGTTTCTTAAAAAAGCTATGGAGTGCAAATAATTTTCAGTGCATCCATTGCCAAACCGTAAACCAGAGCTGCTTAAACTGTGACTGAAATGATGCATCTCCCGAGTACCTCGCTAGTGATGAGGGTGATGCAAGTTCTTACAAGTGCTAGAAAATCTCAAAGCACAAATATGCTATGATGAGTCGTCAGAGGAGTTGAAGCTTGTGCCTCCCATGCTGTCTGTATGTCAGCAATATGCAATGTTCTTTCAGCATCTTGGTGATTATTGGACCTAGGGCACAGCCATAACAGAAGCTGCTGTTTGTCTTGTGTCACCGTTTTTTCTATACCATGGCTCAGTCTCATGCAGTTATTTCAAGGACTAGGTAACCACAAGCTCCATCTTCCAAGTTCTGCATCGCCGCTGAGCACAGGGCAGCCTGTGGAGATGCAGCACGGACCAGCTGAGTGTGTCTGTGGGACAACAGGAATGATCTCTGCCTCTGAAATCCTGCACGGCGGAATGGAGCAGGAGACCAGTTCAGGGGTGGGCAAAGGTGGATGGGGATTCAGCTTGCCCCTCTTCAGACTCGGCATGGAGCAGTGGCATTTAACACAAGCACGGATGCTGCAGAGCAGGGAGGGACCATGGGAGGATGCCTGAATACCTTTGGGGTGAAGTAGGATGGGTACTGGGATACTAACAGCCCCCTTTTTTTGCTGTAGTCACAGGTACCAAACGAAAGATGTCCTGGACGAGAAAGATTCTGCTCCTCCTGGGGTTTCTCTCTACTTTGGCTGCAGTCGCTTTAATTGCTGTAGCAGTGACCCAAAACAAGCCACTTCCAAAGAATATTAAGGTATTATGGGGTGGGGTGCTTATAGGAAAATAAGTGAAGCTGGGGAGATAGGGGCCTGTGTGCTCCAGGGCACCTCACTGTCCTTGCTGGGTCTGCTCAATCTTGGACTCCCTGCACTTCAAGCATCTCCTTTTACAACTCCCTAGCAAAACCAGATGTAGCTTCCTAGAGGATCATCTCTTGAGTGATCTCTTCTTAAGCCTGCAGTCCCGGTTTTGCTAGCTGTATGCTTTCACATCCTTTTGATGGAAAAGTTGAACTGAAACGCTACTGATAAAACTAATGAGACAGCATGTTCCTACAGCTGCCAGAGTTTATTTCTGGTCCCGCCTCCGCGTGTGGGACCAGCACATGCATGTCGCAAATTCAGGGGCTCAGATACGATGGTGCATCTGTTTTGTCTGCAGTATGGGATTGTGCTGGATGCAGGGTCGTCCCACACTAACCTGTATGTGTACGACTGGCCGGCAGAGAAGGAGAATGATACCGGAGTGGTGCAGCAGGTGGAGGTGTGTAAAGTTGAAGGTAAGAGCAGGAGAGAGCTGTGGAAAGGGCATGGGATGAAGAACAGATAAGGCAGCCTAAAAAGCTCAGGGGATAGAATCTTGGAAGGAGAGGCCAGAATATGCGGAGCATCTTTGGTGCATCTCCGCTTGCTTTCCACTGGAAGCTGTATGTGCCTGCCTGTCCCAAGAGGAGAGTTGTTTTCCATCTTCCCTTTTGGGATGCTTGGAAGAAAGTGGTTTTTGGAAATAACTACCTCAAAGAACACACTTTCCCTACTCTAGACTGTGCTTGCCCTCTGCTAAGGCCTTTGTGCAAGCCAGGCAGGATGCTTGGTGGCCATGGTTGCTCAGCTTTTGCAGAGAAAATGGCTTATCTTTTATATAATCCTTAACTGTGTGGATATTATACTGTTGAAGGCTTAAAAGCAGGTATAAAATGTGCATCACTGAAGCCCTGATTGCTAGTTTCTTGTCTGCCCTTCACAGACGAGGCGCCAGCACCGGGTGCTGCGGCTGTCCCCACGTGCGTGGGGCTTCCTGGCAGCTCTTGCAGGCAGCGCTGCCCGGGCTGGCACAGCAGAACGGGGAGCGTTGCCAGGCGCGTGTTGGTTACAGAAGGGGTTGAGGTTTTGTAGCATTTGCAAAGGTCCTTAGGAAGGGGAAGAAATGGTAGAGATGGGAATTTCTTGTTCAGTGAATTTATTGAAGTTGATGGGATAAATCTCTGGCTAATGTGGAGACATACGGTGGTTAAATCTGATGCTGTTGCCTCTGATAGTGACGAAGTTTAACATACAGGACTCTGGGGTTGTGCTTGGAGACTGTGAAATTAAATATTCTGATTTTTTCATTATTTTCCCCCAGGCCCTGGGATCTCAGGTTACTCCCAAGCCACGGAGAAGGCAGGTCCCTCTCTGACGCAGTGCTTACGGAGAGCTGAGGAGGTAATTCCCCCAAGCCAGCACCCGGAGACACCCGTCTACCTCGGCGCGACCGCTGGCATGCGGCTCCTCAGGTACTGCAGCCTTGCGGCCGCGGCCCTGCGCAGCACCGAGCAGGGCGCCCCGGCGGTGCCGCTTAGCAAACACCCCCACCCTGCCTGGGACCTCAGTCCCGTGCAGAAATGCAGCCCTGTCTGAGCTCTCGCTGCGTGAAGCACTTGGAAATGCTGCAAGTTCAGGCTTTGGCCAAATACCCTCTGCTTCCCCTGCAGTCTCCAGGTCAAGCCTGTCCTGCAGTCTCCCTGTGCCTTGCCCTGCTTGCCCAGCAGATGCATGTCTCTCTGCTTCCCCTTTCACCAGCACCCACATATTCTGCAAAGATGCTAGAAAGGTAGTTGCCTCCAAGCTGGCATATTGAGGGGATGCTCAGGCATTGCCCACAGTCTAGTATTAGGCTGCATCCAGGATTTTTGTGCCCAAGAACCTATCTGATTTCTGCAGCTGTTATCAGTGGATCTGGTAAGATCTTGCAACTCCTCACACATCCTGGCTCACATCAGAGCTAAGGTAATTTCTTAATCATATGTCCTTCTTTAATTAGGATTTTCATAATTATTCATGATTTTTATGGAAGTGCCACAGACCTGTTTACTGATGGGACAGAGGGCTAATCTAATGTCTGTTGCCAGTGGAAACTCCCCTGGGTTAGCAAGTGGCATGATTTTCCTCTGTAAGGGTGATGGTGGATATTGGGAGAAATATCCACGGTGCAATAGCCTCCTGCTTGGCACATGCTCCAGGAGAGCTGGGGAGCTCTGGCCTCTGCTCCAGTTTCTTCTCAGCTGTGGGGTCGGTAAGCACTAGGGCTGGTGGCAGCTGAGTGAGGTGTGACCCAGAGAGGAATTAAATCAGTTGCGGCTGGATACATCCCTATGAACTACTTGACTAGTCCATGATCATTAATTTTTATTGGGGGGCTGCAGTCTGCCCACTCAGGGTAAAGCCCATAGGTTGCAGTGAGCAGTCAGAGATGCTCAGTCCTTTCTTCTGTTCATCCAGCTTGGAGAATAAAGATGCTGCTGACAAAGTCCTGTCCTCGGTAGAGAAGACACTACGCTCAGCTCCCTTCAGCTTCCAGGGTGCCAGAATCATCAGCGGTCAGGAAGAAGGAGCCTATGGCTGGATCACCATTAACTACCTGCTGGGCAGTTTCAAGCAGGTACGGTATCAATGCCAGGTCTGTATTTGAACCATTGGCTTAGAACAACTTGTAAACTATGCATTGCAAGACGGTGTTGTAATCATCAGCTTCCTTTTTAAGCTGGTCTAAACCAGGAGTTTGAACACCGTGCCTCAGCAGTTATCATAAAATACAATCCATCCGCTCCAGCTTACTAATTCCTGTCGAGACACTCAAGTGCAGTCAGGCTTAAAGCACTGAAAAAAACACCAATATCTTTCCCATGGATCCCATGGCATCCTCCTCGCTTCCGGTTCTAAAATATTTCTGCACCTGAGTAAATATCAAGAAAGTTCCTCTAAACTTCTTGGTATTTAACAAGGACTCTCTACTATAGAGCTTATACGTTTTGAGGGAGCTAAAACAGTAAGCTGACTGGTTTTTTTCCACTTAACAGTTGTATTAGGTTATATGTTCTTAATCCTCATGTGAACACTCAAACACAATCCATCTGTTTTTCTGAGCCTGCATCTTGTTCTGTCTTATTCCTCTTCACATCCTACCCCTTCACTGTGAACTTTCTTTCCTGTGTTCTGTGCTGTTTCTCTCCTCCTAAGCCTTTTGCCTTATCCTTGATTTTCTTTATTTCTTGAAAATATGTCCCTTTCAAACCTGATGCACCCATCATTTGTAATTCTTTTTTTTAAGTCTGGATGGAGAAAATTTCTGCATATCCTAAAATCTAGAAGTGAGACCTCAGGAGCACTGGATCTTGGAGGCGCTTCAACTCAAATTACCTTTGTACCAGATGAAACTCCTTATGAGTCTCCAGAGAGCTGGCTGCATTTCCGTCTCTATGGCAAGGACTACAAAGTGTACACACACAGCTTCCTCTGCTATGGGAAAGACCAGGCTCTGCAGCAGAAACTGGCCTGGGACCTACAGGCAAGTACATCTGTGGTTGCAGGTGGAGATCCTGGACCCCCAAACTTTGGCGTGCTGCTTTGGCACAAGTTGTTCTATCTCAGCTAAATGTCTCATCCTTTAGATTGCATTTGGGAAATGTCATCAACCTCCATAAAGACTGGGGCAAAGCTCAAGGAGGTAACAGCTAAGATTTTTAAAAGGACTACTTATTTGCGGTGTCGTGATCCTTAGGTATGGGATAGCAAGAAAACTGCAAATTAATTGAAGCAAATTAATAGCAAATTAATTGAAGTATGCAGGGGAGAGGTGTTTTCACCATCTCTGAGAATCCCAGATACACAACAATTTCAGACAGTATGGCTGGAAGTAATTTGCCCAAGGTCTTATAGGGAGGCTGTGTTAAATAGTAGTACCCACATTTTCCAATTTGCAGCTAATGTCTTAAGACCATCCTTGCCACTTTGACCTGACATGTGTATCTTAGTGTGACACATAGTGACAAGGGCCTCTGGAAACCCATCCAAGTGTTACTTGAGGGTGGAAGATAATTGCTTGGGTTTATCTTTCTTACAGACCATTGAGAACAGCAGCCTCCTCGATCCGTGCTTTCACCGGGGGTATCAGCGAACTATAAATATAAGAGACTTCTACAGAAACCCCTGTACATCTGCTGAGAAAAAGCAACTTCCTTTCGACCAGCTGCACATACAGGGAGAGGGAGATTATCAAAAGTGCCGAAGAAACATCCAGAATCTTTTTAACAAAACTGGCTGTCCTTATTCCAGTTGCTCCTTCAATGGTATATACCTACCTCCATTACAGGGGGATTTTGGGGTGAGTCTATGCATTCTTCAGCTCTCTATAACCCACAATATCAGAAGAGCAGAGACTTAGTAATGCTAGAGTGTATTCTCCATGATTGGGGCAGGAAATCATTTACAAGATGACTTTTGGGACATGTAACTACAAAAGCAGCCCTGCAGTTACTGTGAAGATGGAGCTTACTAGGACTACCTGAGTAGCAACATCAGCCTAGCAGCGCTGCAGCATTCTCATTTTAAGCGTTCTTCTGTAGCCATCTTCTTGGCATGTTCCATGTACTGATTTATTTTTCAAAGAGTCCTTTCCCAATGGCCAGCTCCAAAGGTGATACCACTGCTCCTGCAGGCCTTGTCTCATGAGTAAAAGTGATATCTGATCTGAAATTCACCCAGAAGGGTGTGAGCCTTACTAAAACCAGGCCTTCTGTTTGAGACACAGTGAGGAGACAGTGCCTGCTCTGAACACGTCATGCTTGACACCACTACACTGAAAGACAGTCCTAGAGCTGCAAGTCTTTCAGTGACTAGGAAGGAATGGTTGGGGAGAGTGTTAACACTTGCATGCTTTGTTTGTAAGCTTATTCCTACATATCTGTTGTTGGCCATGGTCAGAGATGTGTTATTTGGGCTTTGAATCATCTGTTTGGATCATGTACAGTCCTTTCAGACTATTGTCTGTCCTGACTGTAGCAATATTGGTTGCACATCTCAGTGATTGCAGTTGTGACTAATGCTGTTCACTAGGTGCTATGATGGCACCAGCACATAGAGGAGGGATTTACTGAAGTGCTTCAGGATATTGTGGTTAGTGAAGTTCTTCTTTCTGGTGTCCTTAACTGTCATAAACTGAGCAGTGTATGTGGAAATGACATTGCTCTTGAAAATATATCTTCTTCGGTGTGTCTGTGTGCATTTCTTGTATTTCTGCATCTCTTCAAAAATGCTACTTGTGGAATTTCCATTGGTGTGCTGGTGCTGTGGCCCTGTCAGGTTCAAATGTATTCTCTCCTTCAGGCTTTTTCTGCTTTCTACTTTGTGATGAACTTTCTGAACCTGACAAATGAAAAAAGCCCTGTTCCTCTGGACAGAGTGGCCAGCGCTATTCAGAGCTTCTGTGCCCGGCCTTGGCAGGAGGTGAGTAAAACTTATGGCAGCAGCTGGGGCTGCCTCTCCGTGGCAGGTTAGAGAGCCCACATGGCCAGTGCTCCTGGTCTGTTCTGTAAGACCAAAAGCTTGGTGTTAATTTCCTAGGCATGAGTAGGAAGGTTTCCCCCAGCACCTCCTGTGAACACTCAAATGCAAGTCAGAGCTGTGAGAAAACAGCAGCTTACCTGACTTTTCTCTCCCTAGGTGAAACCAGAATATCATCAAATAAAAGAGAAGTATCTGAGTGAATATTGCTTCTCTGGGACCTACATCCTTTCCCTCCTGCAAAATGGCTACGAATTCACTGAAGAGAACTGGCAAAGAATCCACTTCCTTGGAAAGGTGTGTTTCTTGGTGGAGGCAGCTCTTCACAGCCTCTGCTGTATGTCCTGACCCTTCTTCTACCAGGGGCGGTCCTTGCTTCTCTGATGCTGATCTTGTTCCTCTCCCGTTTCAGATTGGCAGCAGCGATGCGGGCTGGACCTTGGGCTATATGCTGAACCTGACCAACATGATCCCTGCAGAGGAGCCCGCTGTGCCCCCTCTTTCCCATGGCAGCTACGTGGGGCTCATGGTGCTCTGCTCCCTAGTGCTGGTGTCTGTGCTCCTGCTTGCCTGGCTGCTCTTCCACAAGCCCAAGTGCCTGCAGAAGGGGATTGTGTAGGAAGCACTGTGGTGGGGAGAGGGTCCATGGCAATCCAGCTGGGTAGGCCTCGGAGCAATCCTGCAGAGCTGGCCTTGTACTGCAGAGCCCTCTTGCCTCTCACTAAAGCTACTGACTGTGGATAAGGGCATTGATTCCTCCTGACTCACACTTGCACTGACAGATGTTGGGACACCAGGCTCGCCATCATGCTGTGCCAAGGACAGACAAGCTGGCGTCACCTTCTTGACTGGGTCCTGCTTTCTTCCACTCAAACTTTGCCGCTTGTTGTTTTTTGCCTTGCTCACAGCAGCGTAAAGATAAGAGCGGCAGAAATCATTGGGAGCCAATGCTCCTGCAAGTGTAATCTCAGGGTCGCACGTGCCACCGAGCTCGTGGAAGCGATCGCACATGGGGTGATCTGGCTCCTCCTCCAGTGAAGCAGTTCTCCAGAGCCCATCCAGGACAGACAGTGCCGGCACACCCCTGGCTCACCTCCCCATGCCCTTAGCCCTCACAGCTCCTCCAGCTGAGTACAGTATCCAGCTGATCCCACAGAGACTGGCCGTGCTCCTCTGGGCTGCTCTGGTGCAAGAAGGATGGAGGAACCGCGTGTGCTCCTGGCCACCACACTCAGGGGGCTCGGGCAGGTGTCTGTTCCTATCACAGAGAGCAGGAAGCCTATTTCCCATGTCTTCCTGATGCTCTTGCTGGACCAAAGCAGGCTCGCTGTTATGCTGAGCTATTCCCATGTCCTTAGGACAATTGTATACATCAAGACATGAGTTTCCCAACAGGCATTTCTGAAGTTTGTTTGTATGAGCCGTTTGAGGAACGGCTCATACTGGCCAAGGATCCCAGCCCAGGAGCTAGTATGTGCAACTACAGGTACTCTTCTCCTATCAACATACATACTCCGAAAAGCCATTCTGTCTTATTGTGCTGATCATCTATCAGCCTGTGATCCTGGGAATATGTTTATTAGTTCGTGTTCCTTTTTGAAAAAAAGACATCTGACAGCAGTTAACCAGCACAAAAAAACCCACCAATTAACTCTTTGCATTGACAAAATTTCCCTTCTTCTTAGCTTATCTTAGAATTAATATCTCCTAAATGCTGAGGCTCATAGGTTCACACAGTGCAGCCCATCTTCTAGCACTCAAGTAGGCGAATGCCAGTGATCAGGTTTATTCAACCACTTCTATTGTTCCATCCTCTGGTCCAAGAAAAAAGAGAAGTAGTAAGCTGGAAATCCATGTTTATAATGCTCAGAAACCACTGGTGCCTGTTTACCTCCCAAGCAAACTTCTCCCTTTCAATCTGGGCTAGAGGCCCAAAAAAGGATGTATTGTGGGTGAAAAAGGAATGGCAAAGACCTTTCCCTGTTTCCCCAAGCAGAAGCTGCAGAAGGGTCAAGGGAGAACATGCACTTATAAACCTTCTTTCAGCAAGCACAAATGGAGCCTTGGGGCTTCTGTGCTCACCCAAGTTGTTCCCCTGTGCAGTGAAGGCCAGAGTGAGTCCTCGAGCCACTTCTGCTTTACATCTAGAAGCAGGAGCTTCAACTTACTGAAGGTCATGAAAACAAGGGAAAAAATCTGTCTTACCATGTCTTATGGTAAGATGTATGGGCAGTTCGCTCTTCTTCCAAAAAATCTGTGTAATTTGTTTTCTGTTTAGTTTCAGCTGCTATTGGATCTTGATCAGCACATTTCAAAAAGATGAGTAAGTCTTGGCTATCAAAATGCCCCCCATTTTTTTTCTTGTTGGTGCTTGCAAGTCATCATCCTATCATATTAAATAGATTGACCTTCAGTCTGTAAAGTGCTTTGTCCTCACCTCTCTTGTAGCTCTTCAACTTTTTTTTTTGAAATTTTGATATCTTTTTAAGTTTGGATACCAAAGTTTGCAGCAGTTAAGTGGCAGTAAATTCTGTAATAGTATATATAAAAGTAATACCATTTGTTAATGCTGTGTCCCCTCATATAGCTCAGGGTCAGATCTTTCTGAAGAGAATGTTTCATGTGGGCTATTTTATTCAACTGAAGTATTGCCACCAGGCCTTTTCCTTTGCTCTAGCATTCCAGAACAGTCACTGCCTTGCAATGTTATCTTTTAACCTGAGATATTTTGCCTTCCAAGTGGCTGTACTGAAATGCATGCTATTCAAAGAATAGTGCCCTAAGCAAGTGATCCATATCAACCCGCATGTGATCTTTCTATGTACTGTTTATCCATTTACCAGTTTTTGGTTTATCTGCAAATATATTGAGACGTTGGGATTCATCTAGAACTAGTCTTCTTTGTTGTTTTCAGCAAAGATACTTAGAGGAGAGATTAATGGTATTTTGGGCTGTGGCTGGAAGCATGTGAGGATAATCAGAGCTTCTTCAGGTCCACAGTGAGCTCTTCTGATAGACTGAGCTCCAGCCCTCCTTCCAACTTGTTCTCTTATCTGCTTTCTTCCTTGTTTAAGGAGTATCTGTAAGCAGAGTGTGTACCCTGGAAAAGTTCCTCTTGCCAGCAGGCAGGTCCTTCTTGCTGTCCAAACAATGTGAAAAAGCTACAGAGTGATAATGCATCTCTGAAGCTGCCACTGCTAGCTAGTTGTCTGTGGTGCTGGAACTCACAGATCCATTGGGAAATTCCTGAAACTGAGGCAGAAGCTCTGTGTAGAAATGGATGTGGAGAGTAAGTTTCTCCTGGTCCCCAGGAGGTGCTTAACCTAAAGGAAAAAAGGTCAAATTAGAACCTGAGTGAACGGTTTTGTGAGCGTTTTTTACTGCAAGTTCCATGATATTGTTAAGCTTAGATTCTAGAGCCAAATAGATCAACTGTCATCTCTGCTTTTTCCTGCCCACCTTCTCTTTCTGTCCAGTTTCAAAAGAAACAAGTAGGATCTGCAACCTTGTATGTGTGACTTAAGTGCAGCCCCAAGGCCCCAAACAGAGATAAATGCAAAGAATATAATTATTAGTGTTTTTCTTAAACCTTATCATTTCACGCCAATTTTGAAGCAATCTTTCCTAAGGAGATACCAGAGGTGATTTTTGAAACTCATTTGAAATGGGTAAGGCTGCAGGACTGGCTGACCAAAGGCATCCTGCCATAGTTTGTATCACTAGCTGCACTTGAACCCTTCCAGCAAAAGGTATGATTTTTCCTCTCTACAATTGCAGGACTTGCTGTTATCTAGGGAGCTTACCCCAGATTACCCCAGGCCAAAGAGTCTAAGTGTCCAATTTAATAAAAAGTCACTCCTGTGCTGCATTGGACTCAGATGTTGACTCAAGATCATAAAAGATAGGGAGTGGATTTTTCCAGGGATGTCAGAGAACAGTAAGATAGTGTCACATCTCCTGTTAATGCTGTTGATCTGCCTCACTGGTAACTATTTGTGCCTTATTTCTGTTTAATAGCTTCTGGCTCTGGTACAGTTTTGTTCTTCTAGATTAAGAAGTCCTTTAACACCATGTGTTTTGTGTTATGAATATGTCAACCAAGTCCTCTGGGTTGTCTAGAATCTAGACCACTTGGACTTGCATGGTCTCTCCTGTCTCTGTGTCTCATGGCAGGAGGCCCTGTGAGAACCTGCAGGGACTTGGAATGAGTTTCCTGAAGTGTGAGGCCCTGATGTCTCTGGCTTCTGGCTTAGATGTCTTTTCAGGAATGTTCCCTGGGTGGGACTTGACAGCTTTGCAGGAGCAACCTGGGGCTGGGCTTGGTGACTTCTACAAGCTTGCTCCCTTGTCCCTGTCACCAGGGGTGAGGGCTGAGGAAAAGTTAATGTGGGGCTGAGATTTTAGGGGAGACAAAAAGTTCTGGAGGAACCCAGAAAATGCTGTTTCCTCCAGCACTCCTACACCTTTTGTAGAAAGTGGCCAGTGCCCACAAGATGATCTACACAACCTACACCCGCCTTTCTGACTTCTCTGGCCCTCTTGCCAAAGCACAGCAAAACCACCCTGATGACTTGAATTCACTGTTGGGTGCAGAGCGCATGGAAGTAGTCATCCCTACTGCAGGGAGATGCTTTTTGGGTAACGTGAGTGTTGGTTGGGGCTCATCTTGTGCTGTGCCATGACATGCAGGGGACACGGTGGCTCAGAGCTTCTCGCTGTGCGGCAGGGCTGAAGAGCTTGTTCTGGTGCTGCCAGGGGTTCTTTCTGCACGGACCAGAGAGAAGTGTGTTGAGGACAGCCATCCGTGCCTCCTGCCACTTGGGCCATGTGCTTGCTCTCAGCAGGTCAGCCCTCATGGAACAGATCTTTGTTTTGATGCACACACAACTCTGTATCCTTATCACAATAAAGACTTCTGAACTGATGCCAGCAAAGTTTTCTCACTGTTTTCCATTGGCTGGGAAGTTGCCAGTAGTGGAGTGTGGAGCTTTTGGCATAAAGGATGGAAAAGTCTTGAGACAGGATTTCCCATTTTGCTGGTTTCCTGCTATCTTTTCCATTCCCAATTTTTTAATTCCTGCTGGACAGGCAACATCCCCTCCTGACAAGGAAAGGCAGTGTGTGCCCTTTCTCAGTCTGGACACCTCCCAGGGGCAGTCTCACTCTTAGGAAGGCTGCTACTGTCCAAATTGCATTTTCTTCATTCAGTTTTCCCCACCTCCCTGGGAATGTCTCCTGAGGTATTGCGTGCACTTGTTCTCCACTATCACCCACTGAAAGCCTGAGGTCCTCTGACTGCCTTGCCCCTTACTCCCAGACCCCGTACCCCTGGCTTCACAGCAGGGTTCAGCCCCACCAAAAACAAGAGAAGGGCGTGGGGCCTCCAACCCTTGGGTCTAGGGATGTATGCCCGTGTGGCTCCATGTGCATGCACAGCTTTACCTTAGCCAAGACAAACATTTCACGTATGTGCGTGCGTGTTTTTAAAGCACACTCCCCAATATGCTCATTTTATGGCTCTTAACTTGAAAGTTCCTCAGATTTTCCAGTCTTCCTCTTGCAACAATATGGTCAGAATTATAATTAATGCACCAGGTGGAGTCTTTCCAGTGTTGGCTCTGAAGGGATCGTCTCTTTCCTGCCTGTGACCTTCTGCCTTAGCAAGCAAATGTGTTGCAAGGGGGAGCCCGGGCCTTGCATTTACATTCTTCTCACTCCTGCTGCTGTGGCACTGCACGTTCCCGCTCTTGCTCTCATTTTTCTCCCTCAAGCTCTTTCCATCTTTGAACATCTGGGAGGGGTTGGATGATCTGTCCCAGATGTATTAACTGCATTTTCCAAATTAAGCCCTTGTTTACTTCCTGTGATATTTCTAAGAGATTAAGTCCCATATTGTTTATTTCTGTCCTTTTTTTTTCTTACTACATATCTTAATTTGCTGCTGGCTGGAAGCTTCGTTAGCATGTTTTCCTAGAATGTAGTAAGACCATAGAAGGTCAGGTTGGGCACCCATGCTTAGGGGCCTGTCTCTGGCTGTGGCTGATGGTTTAGGTTGAAACTTTGGGAAGGGACATGATCCTTCTACAGCAATCAGTAACTTTCAGCCTTTACAAGGTAATTCCATCATGTGTTGCGTGCAGACATGTTCTCTTTGGCTTGCTTCAAACCTGCTGCGGGATAAAGAGATGCCCCCATCCTTATGTTGCAGGTAATGCTAATTCTCCAAGCCTCGCAGTGCTTTACGTGCTGTCTCTTCCCCCCCCCGAATGCTGTTCCCAGCTCCTTATTAGGCTATAACATTCCTCTATCTTTTCTTCTTTTCTCGCAGCGGGGTTGCTCCGTCTCCATAGGGAAAGTGTTTTCCCGTGCCCCTTGGCAGCCCTGCAGCTCCGCGTTTTGCCAGTGGCTGTCATGAGCCACGGAAAGCAGAGCGTGGGAGGAGGCAGAGGAGGGAGAGACGGAGTGCGGGACTGGGACTGTTTTACTACAGCCCCGGCTGTCAAGTCTCCCCAGCGAGCGCTGGAAGCCTGCCCACCGTTTGTGCGTTGCCTTGGCTGCCGAGAGCTGCGCGGAGAGCGGCTCCCCGGGCACTTAGCAACCCCGCGCGGTGACGTGAGCGAGGCGAGGGGTTCCCACCAGCGCGTGGGCTGTCGCCGCTCAGAAATACCACCCGCCGCAGCTGCGCCTGCAGGCAGCGTAGCCGCGCTCGCCCACGGACGGCTGCGCGAGCTGCCAGGGTATCCACGCGGTGCTTGGAAAGCGAGCCCCGTGCAGGGTTTCTCTGCAACGTGCCTCCACGTCAACGTCTTCCTCCTTCAGCTTCTGCGTGGCAATTGCTGTGCCATGCTCCTGCTTGCCATGCCCTTCCGTGGCCTTCACTGTTTTTCTTTGCTCTCCTACAAGTGCTGGAGAAGCTGGCGCTGTTTCTCGGGAGCTAAGCGGGGTGCAGTGCAGCTCCTACCCCAGAGCCTTGCTAGGCTGGGACTGACTGACAAGCAGGGATCTCGTGGGATGACGTTTAACTGGGAGAAGGCGTTAGCATGAGTATTACTATCTTTATATACTTAGAATATGTGGCTATTGCTATCTTTAGATACCCGTAATATTCTTTTTTTTTTTCTTTTTTCTGATTGTCTCTGTAGAAAATAGATCTTCAAAATGAGGACTTTTAAAGTCCTTTTTTTGTTTCTTTTTTTTTCCTCTGTTGAAAGAGGGCATACATGACAGGAGGGTGGGAGGTGGGAGCCCAGTATAAGTACTCACTCTAGTGGGGCAGGAGGCCTTCTGCCCTCCCCTGACCTCCTGTGTACACTGCTGGCTTTGGAGGCTACAACTAGGAACCCCCTAGTTTTATTCCTACTCTTCCCAAAAAGTGGGAACAGGATGGCAGACATACAGGGCAGGTAGGCGGACACCTACTCCCCTCTGTACCCCGAGAATGAACAATAGTGAGGAAGAGGAGGCCAAGAAAACCCTTGCAGAGGGTTAGGAGGGGGCTGCGCAGAGGCCAGAGGGAAGGCGGCTGCTGAGCGCATGGCCCTGAGCACCCCAACGAACCTATAGCTCATGGTATAGAACCATGGCAGGAGCAGATCCCTGGCCACCGTGGCCAGGCAAAGCACCTGATGATGCCTTTGGGCTGTTGAACTCTCTTCTGCTGCCAGTCACCCTGTAACGTTGCCCTTCAGAGCCTAGCTGGGACCTGCTCAGCCCCTGACTCCAAAATTGAGCCCCATGCCTCTCGTAGCCCTGAGCCTCAGAGAGAAGGGCCTGGCCAGGCAGAAAGAGATGAGGCCGCTGCCTCCTGGAGCACCATCTCCTTCCCTTCCCCAGGAGATGGGGCAGGAGAGCAGGCGAGGAGCGGAGCCTCCGGATACGAGCCAGCACAGCCCGCAGGACATGGGGGACAAGAGACGAGCTCAGGGATGGCACACGGTTCCTCAGGGGCCAGCAAGAGCCCCCTGTCCCCCAAAGTGCTGTTCCCCCACCACAGCCCTTCCCCAGCCCCTTGGCAGCAAGGCGCCCTTCCCTGCAGCCCTGGCTTCTCCCGTCGGTGAGGCTGCGCTGGCGGGAAACTGCGCCGCTCTCTCGCGCGTTCCTGTGCCTTTGGCAGCCCCCGAGCCCGCGGCAGCCAGTTTTCCAGCCTCTGCAGTGACAGCCAGCGGCTTCGGGGTCCTGTTTACTACCCGGTTAATAAGTGAACCAGAGCCAGCGAAACTCTCCGAGACGGGTCTGGCCGGCGGTCGCGGCGCGAGGGCGGGCGAGGGCTGCTCCCGCCGCGGAGCATTCCTGCACGCCGGGGCCGCCGGGCCCCAGGCAGAGCCCTCGCGCCGGCCGCCGCGCTCCCGGCGCGGCCCCCCGCCCGCAGGTGCAGGGGGCTGGCACTTGGCGGGGAAACTGGAAAGAGCTGGTTGGAGTTTGCACTTTAGCTCCGGGCAGGAAGGGAGCCCCGCGGTGCCGGCAGCAGGAGGATGGCTCGTTTGCTCTGGCCCCCGCTCAGAGTCCTGCTGCTGCTCGAGGTGGCGGCCGCCGTGAGCTTCCTCCACCACCGCTACGAGGAGATGGTGCAGGCCCTGTTCCGCGTGCAGAACGAGTGTCCCTACGTCACCCGCATTTACAGCATCGGCCGCAGCGTCCAAGGGCGGCATCTCTACGTGCTGGAGTTCAGCGACCACCCTGGGATCCACGAGCCCTGTGAGTAGAGTAGGGGGCTGGTGGATCGGGCAGGGACCTGCTGCCAGCCCGGGGACGGGCACACGCACCTGCATGCACAGCCTGCACAGGCACGAGCTCCTGCTGGCCCCGCAGCTATTTTGCACAGAGCTCCTATTTTTAAACTCGGCGCTGCAGCAGCTTTTGCCCCAGGATCCTCACTGTGACCCAGCTCGGACCACACGGGCACAACGCGCGGTGGCAGGTTCATCCGGTGCCCCACGTCACTCGCTTGGCGCCTCCCTTGCCACCAGCTCCCTCCCAAAACACAGGGATGGAGAGAGACGCAGGTGGGAGGTTGCACAGCGGCGCAAGGAGCGCGTACAGCCCCCATCCCCACAGCAAAATGACACCCCATATGGGTGTCCTGAGCCAGCACTGGGCTCATGCTACCCTGCCAGCCTGGCTGGGCCACACGGCACCTGAGGCAGCCGGTGTCAGCAATGCCACGTGGCCCTGCCAGGTTTCATGCAGCTCTGGTTCCAGGGAGCTGGGGCAGTGCACGGGGCTCTCTTGCATCATCTTTGTGCCTGCTGGAAGGGATGCACACTCATCTCTTATCCTTTTCCCGGGAGCTTTTTTCCCTTGCAAAGTCTGGTGTAGCGGCTGGTGTGGTCGCTGCAGGGGCTCTGGGATGGGCTCTGCCACCGCCAAGCGTGACACTGCCCATACCCACTCCATGCTGCAAAACTTCAGGTGCTGAGGGCGGTTCCCTGCTCACTGGGGGAAAAGAAGGAATAAGGGACGCTGGATACGCTTCCCTTGGATTTTTTACTTATAAAAGAGCAGAAAATCAGATGGAAAGGGTTTGAGAAGTGACCTAGCTTTTCTGAAGCCCAAGGCAACCTCAGTTTGACCTAATCTGTACCAGTAGCCCTGCGGCCAGGTAGCTGCAAGGGCATGATGTGGTGGCAGCCTGGACTTCTTGTATCTTTGAGCACCATCCTCAAAGCACGACGTGTTCAGCTTGTAGTGTGAGGGCTATGGGAGTCTGTGGATTCCTTTTGGAGGCTGTGGAAAGAAACTATGAAAAGCAAGCCTGGAGCCAGCAGACTGGCATGCCATAATTAGGGTTTTGTGTCCATGTGGGTAATGTTTATGGGTCTGCAAGCTGAAAAGACTGGCAAGTCCTGCCAACAAAGGGGGGGAAGACGGAGTTCCTGCAGAGATTTTTTTTTTTTCAAGCTGCACGTATCATCAGGGTATTTTTTTTAATAGAATTAATAACTGGTTTACTTAATTAAATCAGTACTCATTTCTCCTGAAATCTAATCAAGTCAACGCATGTTGGCTGCCTTTGTTGAGCCACAGCACTCGGCAGGTCACAAGCAAAAGACATGGAAAAGCAAAATCCTTTGGCTGAATTAGAATTATTTTAGAATCTGGATTTAGCATGTCTGGAAACATGCTGCCTGCACGGTGGAAGCAGGAGGGGAGTCGTATCCAACAGGCATCTGTCTAGTGGAGCTGCGGTACCTTTTACCTTGGACACCCTCCCAGGTCGCCCATTCTCGTATGGTTCAGGCACGTCTGAGCAATTGCAGCAGGGCTGGGTGCTGCCACCGCTCTCCTCATCACTACCGGTGGCTGGAATAACGATGGTGCAATGTGAATCACCTGATTTTGTCTTTTATTTGAGACTTGGACTCCCTTTTAACTGCATGCCCCTCATATCTCTGCTCTTACCAATACTGATTGCAGTCTAGGACTTTTCTTATTTCCCAAGTGACTGTCTCAAAAGCTTATCCTGCCTGGGCTGGGAAAACTTAACCCACCCCTCACATGCTGCTTCTCCTTGGCAAAGCAGTGCATGCTGCTCTGCACGTTCGTAGTTTGTCTGCAGTCTCTAAATTTGTATTTTAAGGTCTAATTTTAGAAAAGTCCGTGGAAAGAGACTTTTTTCCATTGTACTGCAGCTTCCTAATGGATAGTTTCATCTCTATTCAGCACCTCAGCTACCCAGGGCTTCTTTGGGTTCTTGTGTGTGTCTCCTGAAGAAGAGAAGCACTAGGCATGAGAGTCAGAGAGCTGAAAAGCAGCACCAGGGGGAACGTGCTTTTCCAGTGACAGGCTGGACTAGCCCACAGCCAGGGATTGATTGTATCCTTCAGAATAACCTAAAGCTCCTTAAAGCTTGTCGAGCCAGGAATGCAGCAGGCTGGTGAGCGATGCAAACCAACAAGGTCAGAGACAATAGTGAATGGTCTATCCTCTCCACCATGTGCCCCAGAGGCCTCCTCAGCACCAGGCTCGGAGCAGCCGCAGGCCTGGCTGGCCAGTGCTCCCCAGACCAGCAACTTCATCTCCCCAGCCCAGGAACACCAGAAACACCAGAGGTCTTCATGTTTACTCCAAAGGCAGACTCAGCGCCAAGCCTGCGCTGCTCCTGCATCCTGGGATGAGAGGGAGGGTAGTCTATAAAAGGACTGAGCTGTTCTCGCTCACCCCCATTGGTATTTTGCAAGCAAAAGGGACATTTCACACCATTTACTGAAGGGTTCTTTGGACTCTCTATAGCAGGAAATGCCTTTTTTCTCTCTCTCTCTCTCTCTCTCTCTCTCTCTTTTCTTCTTTCCTCATCTGGGCTCCTGCTGATGAGACCACTGCTCTCTTGCTTTCTGCAGTGGAGCCAGAGTTCAAATACGTTGGGAACATGCACGGGAACGAGGTGCTGGGCCGCGAGCTGCTGCTGCAGCTCTCGGAGTTCCTGTGCGAGGAGTATCGCCGCGGCAGCGAGCGCGTCACGCGCCTCGTCCACGACACGCGCATCCACATCATGCCCTCCATGAACCCCGACGGCTACGAAGTGGCTGCCAAGCAGGTACCAGGCAAGCGATCACCTTGTCCACCCGGGCTGGGGGGAAAAGGCCTTCAAAACATGGTCTGCTGTGGATTGTCTGTCATTGAATGCCAGGGGAGGGGATGTCTCTTCTTGCTGAATTTGGCCTTCTCTCTGCTTCTCATCTCCCACGTCCTGCCCTGGGTGGACCTGGCAGGCTGTAGTCCAGCTTACCACACGCAAGCCTAGGATGCCAGGTCCAAAGCACCTGGCTGAAGCGCCCTGGTGGCAATGGCAGACAAGACCACCATAGACAAGGCAGATGAAGGCCACTGCCATGAGCAGATGGGACAAGACGGCTGTATGTGGCAGAAAACCTCCAGCCTCCACACCTCCAAACTCAGCCCTTTCCTTTGTGTCACCAGCCCTAGGGGAGACAGTTTGTCCAAGGTATTTTATCTGAGACATACTGCTTATTTGGCACGTGCCTTGCTCTGTGACCCTCAAAAATGGAGATGTTGTTATTGACTGTCCCCTGTCAGGACCAATATCCTTTATTCTCCTGCCAGCAATAACGTGCATGTTGTGACCCCAGGCCACTGGAAAGCCCTTACAGTGGCCATCTCTGCACCCGCAGCACTGTGGCTGATGCTCACCAGGCTGATGCACCTTTGCCCTGCAGGGCCCAGACAGCATTGGGTACTTGACCGGGAGGAACAACGCCAACGGAGTGGACCTGAACCGCAACTTCCCAGACCTCAACACCTTCATGTACTACAATGGGGAAATCAGCGGGCCAAACCACCACATTCCTCTGCCAGACAACTGGAAAAGTCAGGTACCAGTCTGGGATGCTGGGTGCACCACAACATCCTCCTATGGTGGCCTAGCACTCAAAACATAAATTCTTTCCTTTGCCTTGCATATAGCTTGTGCATGCAGAGAAGATTCTGCTCCTGCCCTGTATCACAGGTCACAGGCCCATCAAGTGCAAGGGCTTAAACAGGCAAATTGCTGATCATGCCACAGCCTGCCAGGGGCAGCTGAGCCTGTCTCCATGTCCCCTGCTTCGTCTCTGCAGTTCTGCTCTCACGAGCCCTCTTCTCCTCGCAGGTGGAGCCGGAGACGCTGGCTGTCATTCAGTGGATCAGCAACTACAATTTTGTGCTCTCAGCCAACCTGCACGGTGGAGCCGTGGTGGCAAATTACCCCTATGATAAGTCGCAGGACACGCGGTTCAGGAGCCACCGGCGCACGTTCAACACACCTACCCCCGATGACAAGCTGTTCCAGAAGGTGAGCAAGGGCCTTCTCTGGCAAGGGCTCTTCCCACCCACCCAACAAGGTGGAGAGGTGATCTTTTTCTAGATATGTAGGCAGATGAAGGAGGAGAGCACCAAGAACATGCACAGATATCATGGAAAGTCTCAGTACATGGTGCTGATCCTGCTAATAATATGTGAGGCCTGTGGTTTTTCTCCGTTGTTAAAATGTCCCAGAAAATAGTGTCTTCAGTCACTGCTGCCATTAGGAAATGCAGGAATCCTGCATAAGGAAAAAGCAAGCTTGTGTTAGAACAGTTAATGAGAAAAATAAGTTTGTGCTGGAGTTCCAGCAAAGGAGGGGCTTGCCAGGGCCTGCTGTGATCGGGGATGCTCTCAGACCCAGATGTAGAGAGGTTGCTCTCAGGGGTGTCTCTGATGCCCACATAGTTTCAGAAGTCAGAAATGCTGGGAGGTTACCATTTCCCTGCTGGCAGGACGAGATTACACTGGTGTCTGAACTACAATACAAGAGTGTGGAGGTTGCGTTAGCAAATGCAAACATCGGTCTATCTTAAAGTTGGTCTCATGCAGAGGACAGGCTTTGGATCCACTATCCCACTTTTGAACCTGCCTTCATGGCTAAAACCAATCAGCAATCTTTGATAAAGGCAACGAACAAACAGGTGCCAGAAACAGAATTTGTCCAAACCCTTTCCTAGTACAGATTCTTCTGATAGGTGCGGATGATGTTTGCCTCAGGATGGCAGAGGTTAGTTTTCCTGGCACAGCTCCCCCAGCTAGTGCAGTTTGCTGCCTGTGGGGGCTGCATGGTTGGGCTGAGCACCTCGGGGCTGGCCCAGCACCTACCATTCCCTCCGTGTCAGAAGCCGTGTGGTATCAGCAAGCCTCCAGCCTGCCCACTACCTGCTCTTCCTCCTTCATCTGCCTACGTTTCTTAGAGGTCCTGGACCCTTGGCTTGCATTTTAAGGTGGGAGCTGGATGCTCTCTGACTTCCTTCCCACCCATCCCAGTTAAGACTGTCCGTGAGCAGGGATGTTGCCCCCAGCTGCCCAAGCTGTGACCTGCTCTCTCCACAGCTGGCCAAGACCTACTCATACGCCCATGGCTGGATGCACCGAGGCTGGAACTGCGGGGACTACTTTGCCGACGGCATCACGAACGGGGCCTCCTGGTACTCGCTCAGCAAGGGTAAGGGCTGGGTGAGGTAAGGAGAGCGCTGCTGCAGCGAGGGGAGAGGAGAAAGCTGGGGAGAGGGTGGGTGGGAGTCCGGGAAAGGCTGTGATTGTATTGTGTCCATTGCTAGACACCGTGCTGGTGTCTCTAGCTCAGAAGGGACAAGAAAAACTGGAGGAGACTTGAGAGAGAGCATAAGAAATCTGAGGTCTGAAGAAACCCACCATGTGCTGGCAGAGTAAAGAAGCATTAGTATGTGGCTGTGAGAAGAATCCTGTGAGGTAACTCCATTAAGGTCCAAGAGTGTGGATACAGGAAAGAGATTTCTTATGTCGTGAGCTGCTGGCTCATGAAAAAAATCCTGGAAATGAAGAAACCAAAAATCAGCAATTAGGTAATAAATAAATGGAGGGTAACTGGAAAGGGAAGCATAGGCCCTGAGGTTTAAAGCCTCCTTGAGCTTCTGAAGGCAGAGAAATTAATGACCTGCCTGAAGGAAAGAGTGAGAAAGGGATGAGAATGCACCGAGGGGAGCGAGAGCTACTCCCACGGAAGGAAGGAAGGGAGGAAGGAGGAAGGAAGGAAGAAGGGAGAGCAGGATTGTTCGGGTAAAGATAGATATGGGCCAATACATCTGGGACACAGGTGGGGAGGGAAAAGGTCTTTGTGTTCCCTGTGGGCCTGGCCATAGGCTCTTTCTCTGCTTTAAGGCATGCAGGACTTCAATTACCTTTATACCAACTGCTTTGAAATCACCCTGGAGCTGAGCTGCAATAAATTCCCCCCGGAGGAGGACCTGGAGCGGCAGTGGATGGCCAATCGGGAGGCCCTTGTGGCTTTCATTGAAGAGGTAAGGGGGCCATCCTGGGATCTTCACCCCTCCCTGTACATCCATGGGCCGTGGCCCCGATGGTGAGAGACCAGCAGGTGCTGGGTGGGAGGGAGGAGAGTCACAGGGATTGCTGGGTGCACTGGAAGGGATCTTGTCAGGCTTTGGAGAGGCTTTTTTACCCTGGATTGGCTCTGCAGGGGAACCAAGAGTGCAGGGAAGGGTGGAGGTGGTCCCGAGCTCAGCTCTCCTCCAGTACTCTCTTGAGCAAAAGCGGGCCGCAGTGCAAGAACCTGTCTCTCTCCTTGCAGATTCACCAGGGCATCAAAGGGATGGTGTCAGACGAGAACAACAACGGCATCGCAGGAGCAGTGATTTCTGTCCAGGGAATCAGCCATGATGTCACCTCAGGTGGGTTGTTCAACCTCTTATATCCCATTTGGATACAGCCTCTCTGAGGTCCTCAGGGGAGGCCATAATATGTGTGACCAGCACATTTTGCATCTTCAGTTTGACTGGAGAGTATGGGCTGACCACATGAAATAGCTAGTTGTAGCTCTGCAGAGGTCAGACAAACAAATCATCAAAACTCCTCTGGCCATAGGTCTTTGGCTCAGTGGCATGCTGATATCTGGCAGTTACTATGCCAGTCTGCACAGGCACAAGGGGAACATGCAAAAAAATCAAGAATCACAGATGTGTTGGCTGAAAGGGCCCTGCAGGGTCTCCAGCCTGATCCCCACTTGTACTGGGATTATCCTTACCACTAAATTTGATCAGACATTGCTCTGTCCAGCCAAGTCTTGCAGACCCCCAAGAAGGGGAAGAACTGAGCAGGAGAGCAGCTGAGCTATTTTTTGACAGTCCCAATGGGTATCATCTATCTGATGAGACACTGAAAACCTGTGGAAAATCCAAAGATGGCAAAATTCTAAGCAACAGGAATTAAAGACCATATGCTGCACAAGGAATTATGGAGCTGTGAATGCTCAGTTCTATTATTTCCTGACTGGCAAGCACTCAGATTTGCAACTTCATTGCGTTCCTAAGGACAGGCCCAGTTACCACTGCTGTATCATCCCTTTTCATGTGGCATTTATTTGCAGACTTCTCCTGGGTAGCACTAATGAGCTCTCCCTTCCAGGCCACCAATGTGCAGATATCTAGCCTAGCAGTAGCCAGCAAATTTAAAAAAGAAAAAAAATTGCCTGGATGTTGGAGACTAAACATCCTAGAGGAAGCCCCTCAGCAAAAGCCAGTGAGATTTCTTTCATGCTGCTCCCTGTGCATCCTAACTGCTTTCTCTCCCCATCTTTTGTTTCAGGTGATATGGGGGACTATTTCCGTCTCCTGCTGCCTGGCACTTACACTGTAACAGCCTCTGCAGAGGGCTATCAGTCCCAAACAGTGACAACAACAGTGGGACCAGCTGCACCTTCATTGGTGAGTCAAGCTGAGTAGTCATGAGGGTGTCTCAAAAGATCCTCATCCTGGAAAGAAAGAAACACAGCAGGGGATGACCCGTTAGCATTACAGAAAGGGCATGGGATAAAAAGCACAGCCAGTGGCTACAGGCTGTCTGCCCTGGTAGACTTGGAGCTCCCTGCAGTTCACAAGGAGGGACAGGCAAAGGCAATGCCAAGTGCCCTTTGATTCCTTCCACGGCGTGATGCTTTGGAGGCAGCTTCCAGGGCAGATGCTTTGGTGATCCCTGCCCCTCGCTGTTGCCCTGCGAATGCAGCGGGAGCTCAGGTGCAGCCTCTCTGGAGGCAGGAGGACCAGCAGGAACCCCAACTGTGGCATCCTGACACACATCATATGCTTCACGTCAATACTGGGCAAGGCTCTTCCTTAAATACACTGTGGTGGTTCTCCCAGCCTCCTTCTCTTCAACCCTCCCTACTCAGTCTCTGAAGTTCTTCCAGAGCAGCCCTTTTCTTAGGGTTAGAAACCTTTTAATTTTGTGCCTAAATTTACTCATGGTCATTTTATCCTTATTTATTCCAATGCCAACATTGTGCCTCAAATAGCTCCTCTTCTTCCCTGGTATTTATTCCCTGATGTATTTATAGAGATGTCAGGTCCACTCCTAGTCTTTGTTTTGCTAGGCTAAGCATCCAGCTCTTTGGCTTTCCTCTTTAAACTTCTTTTCGCCTTTCCCACATTCCTGTAGAAGATTTGATTCCTTCTCTGATGCTCTGATTTGCAGCTCTCTCCTCACCTGTCTCCATTTCCCTGCAGCCCTGGAACACGTACGCGCTTCCACTCAGTTCCTCCCACAGGGAGCCGATGTTGCCCCGTTCCAGCTTCACCTTTCCATACGGTCTCCCCATGCCCCATGTATGTGATACTGTGCCCTGCATGTCCCCTTCTGTCTCCCATAACTGCTTGCCCTGCTGTAGTCTGCTCTGTCCCACCTGCAGCCTTGCAGGCACTGCTCTACCCTATCCAGATTCCTTGGATATAGCTTGGCCTTGGGATAGCTTGGCCTCTATCCCATTCTCACCATGAAGGGGTCTGCATATCCTGTTCCACCTCTACCCCACAGTCATTTTTTTTAATCTTTATTTGGCTAGGTGCTTGGTTGGGTTTTTTGTTTGTTTGATTTTTTTTTTTCCTGGATTTTTTCCCAAGTCTATTAAAGGCACTTATTGCTGAGTGATTAAATAGGAAGCAGCTAACCAGGTGCAACTGAAAAGGTCTGCTTGTCCTGCACGACTGTATGTATTACATATTCACCGAGATGCAAAGCAATGCTATTTCTTTGCTCTCTGATGGAAAAAGGAGAAGGGAAAAAAAAAAAAAAAAAGATGGAGAAAGAGCATTGCTCAGTCATTTGCCTTTCACAGCTCATCTCCCAAACCATCCTAGCACATTCCATTGCCCTAGGAGCACTTCTCAGCATAAGAAATGTAGCTCTTTGTTGGTACAAGATTTTCCAAGGGCAAATTGTTTCCAGCTGATTTAAGCACTGAGTCCCATTGTATCGTAACACTAGTTGAGGCTCCTCATTGACAACGCTTTCCTTGGCCCAAGAGCTAGCTTAGCCTAGCTGCAGGGGCAGGGTCCTGCAGAGCCCTGAGCCAGCAGGAGACACACACCACACAGTGCTACGTGCTTATTTTACTTCTTTCTTCAGGTGCACTTCCAGCTCAAACAAGACGTGGTGAGGAAGCCCCCAGAGCATAAAACCTCAGGCTCACGCATGAACAAAGCCCTTCAGAAGAAGGTAGTGCCAAGAGCCACCCACCGGAGGACCCAAAGATGAAGACGGCGCCCTTGGCTGAGAGCTGGGGGAAACCATTTGCAGGAGGCCTGGCTGATGACTGCAGCCAGTGAACTTTCCAAGAGTCCAGCATGAAACTAGCCCAAATTACGAGGTTATTAAATGAGGAAGTATTTAATCCCTGAGCAAATAGTGAAGTCATTCACAACAGAATGTGCCTAGGCTGCAGTTCCCAGGGCAGAGTGTCCGTAGCTGCTGAGCTGCACTCCTGCACTCAGTCCAGCTAGGTCAGCTCTGCTCCCTTACTCTTGGACTCGACTCAGTTGCTACAGGCCACATGAGGTGTTCAAACACTAATGCACAGCAGAGAATGAACCTTGGCCCTGGTCTTTTGACAGCTGGACTCAAGCTGAGCGCATGAATCCTGGCACTAGTACCCTAGGTGCATGTCCCCTTCTCCCTCAGGTACAGATGGGAGCTATCTACAGACCTCAAGGTAGGTCACTTTTAAAGCAGTTTGTGATGCAACAGCCCTATACACTGTTCATGTCCTATGCACAAACTCCACAGGTAAGAATGCAGCACTGGGATATGGTGGTTCAAGGTCATCTTCTGGCTGGAAAAGCCACATTTATTTTGCTGCACAGATGGGACTTTCTGGTATCAGATTTGGATTATTTGTAGTCAGACTGGCTCAACCAATACACATCGGCAAAAGCAATGGATTATCCGCTCCTTATGTCTTCAGATCCCAACCAGATGGCCTTTTGAAAGGTCTGCTCTAACCAGCACAAGCTATTAGTCTCAGCACAGATAATGCCAGGTGAGATGTGATAAGCAGTGATAAATAGGAGTGCAAAACTGGTGATCTGAGGGTGGTTTTTTTCTTTTTTTAGAAATCATATCTGAAATCATGCATGACTGTGATACTAGCAGTGTGCCATGTTAGCACAGAGCAAGCTAAGTGAGTTATATTTGGGATAGAGAAGACAAACATGTTCAGCAGTTCAGTAAACGAGGGTAATGCGGACTGCTTACAAAGTCTGAACAGGTGTGGAGTTAAAGCAAGAGAGGTGAAAATAATGCTGGATATTCCTGTGGTAAAATATGTCAGCAGGCAAAGCTCTTCTGGCCTCCTTTATAGAAATAAGTAACTGCAGGGGCAGTAGAGCCCCTCTCATGTGCCCCAACAATTTATTTTCCCTTGGGCACTTATCCATCTCCCCTCTACAACCTTGTGTTGTACTGGCTCTCTCCATGTCTCAGTCCTGTCCAGAAAGTGGCCCCCATCCATCCTCTGGGCTCTTCCTCTTCTACAGACTCCTCTTCATCTCTCATGAGCAGCCTCTGCCACCCTACTCCATAGGCACTTCATCCCTCAGTGACAAACTCTCCCCTGTCTCCGAATCATGAGGCTAGTACCATTTTCTCCCCTGGCAGTGCACACATGCTCCTGCTGCCACTTTTGCCTGCTAACAGAAGCTCTTCTTCTGCCCCATGCCTCTCCTTGGAAAGCAGTGAGTGACCTGGCCCTCACCATTGCAAGCTATTCAAGCTATTGCAGAGAAGCGCCATAGAAATGGTAGACCAGGCCACCACAGCTGTCAGTGATTTGGGTCTGTAGAAGCCAGTGTGGGCTGGGGACGCTGGCCAGTTCCACGATCACAGCCAAAGCAGAATTCAGATTCCTTGCATTCTTCTCTTTTGGCATTTGGAAGTGCAAAAGGACAGCCAGGCTGAGACAACTCTTCTGTGGTTTAACTTTTCTTCCCTGGGCCAAGCCCAGCTGCTTCAACCCAACATCCCACCTGTTTGAAGCCAAGTGTAGCTACATATTTACAGGGAGGCATTTTCAGAGGGGCAGGCAGGATAAGGAAGGCTGGCCTGCTCTGTCTGAGCCACAGCCTGGCCCCATGCTGCATGCAGAAGGGTTCAGATTTTATCAGGTATCTGACCCTGTGCAGGTGGGTACTCCTGCCCTTCAACCACAGCACCAGCTCAGCTGGCTGAGCTAACCACTCACCTCCAAGGACAAGCAGGAAGCTGAGACTGAAGAAAGGGCTTCCCAAGAGAAGGTCAGAGCCCACCGGTGGATCCTGCTCTGGTTACCATGTTGGAAGCCCCATCTGAGGGCTTCCTGGGCAGGGCGATGCCTCTGTGTGCACAGGGCTGTCCATGCCACCAGCACTGGACGGCTGCCACAGGTCATCTTCTGAGCCTGGTGGCTGCAGGGTGCTCTCATGATGCCCTCTTGTGGCCCTGAGGAATGGAGTAACAGTGCAATTGCCCTTGCTTTCCGGAGCAGTCAGAGGACTGGGATTTCACCTCTGGAACAGGGCAGCCCATCCAGGAGGCCAGAGCACTCACCTTTGCAGGCTCTTGTGGGGTAAGCAGTGCAGGAGCAAAGCTGAGAGTGCTGGTGGCAAGCTTTTTCTCTTATAAAACCATTCCCACAAGATGAAACTTTCTGCAGGAGTTTCAATCTCTCGTTTTCAGTATCTCTCTCTCTCTCTCTCTCTGGGCTGGGATTTGTCAAGCTACATCCAAGGTTTGCTCTCCTCCCAGCTCTAAATATTTCTGTGTTGAGCAGTTTGGTAGCGCTCCACTTGGCCATGGTGAAGCTCTCCACGTGAAAACATGATTACAAAATGTTTCCAAGGCACGGCTCTCTTGAGCCCGCCTCTCAAAGGCTTGCCATGAACTTAGCCCTGAGTGTTGCAAGAAGCGTGGGCTAAAACAGTGCTAAACTTTTGCATATAACATCTGCTGTGCCATGGTTTCATGTTCATTTCAGACTCCAGTCAAGCTCAAAACAGTTGATAATGTTGTGGCAGAAGGAACAGTAAACAGCCTTCTTCAGGTCTTATTTGTCCTTTTTGAGATGAGAGGACCAGAACTGCATGGAGAGATGGTATAAACAAGAAGTCGGGCCCAGAAGAATGAACCAAACTTTTACAAGCAATACTGTGAGGATCTTGGGATGAGCAGGGACCCCAGTGAGGGAAGGTACTTCTTCCTCTGAGCATGCTGGCTTCTGTGTCTGTCACAAACGAGGCAAAAGGTGGAAAAATACACACAGCTGAACTCAAAAAGAGGGAGGTAGGTTTTGTGGGGATGCCAGGAGACATGGGTTGGTCAGGCACAGACCTGAAATGCTGTGAGGGGTGGGGATCAGGATGATGCATTCTCTAGAAATACTGAGGTTAGGAGACAGGGCTAGAAATGGATGATTAAGTGGAGATCAGTCAGCAAGTCAGCAAGCTGCTTATTACAGAAGTATTGGGAGGCACATCTTTCAGCAGAAAATATAAAAGGCTTTTGTAAGTGTGTAGCTTTTCTTGGAACACCGGAAAAGTTGGACTGAAAGCCAAGGAAAGGCTTGGCTGGAAGTGAAAGGGCAATGAAAAGCTCAGGGTAAGTTAAAGTGAAGGTAAGTGTCTAAGAAGTGGAAAGCTTGCTTAGTCTTTGCTCCTTCAGGAGATGATTAAGGGACCGGAGCATCTCCGTTGCTCTACGCTGGACCCTCTCTAGAAGCTCCATGTCCTCACTCGGCCTCAGGCCTCCCGCCACGTGCGACGCTGTGCCAGCAGCAGCAGCTATGGGCAGCAGGAGCCCAGGTTGCAGCTCCCGGGCCGTGCACGCCCTCACGCACACGAACCCCCCTGGCAGGACCCGGCTTGTCCTGCGCAGCCCGGCCGCGGCTGGTGGCCCGCCAAGCTCCTTGCTCTCGCTCAGCGCTCTGGAGAAGCAGGGGCAGCTGAAGGCGCCGGGGAGCGCCTGGCTGTGCCGCCTGCGCTGGGCGCTGAGGGCCGAGGGCTGCGCAGTGCAGGGTGGAGGGCTGTTCGCTGTCCCTGGGGCCATGGGGGCTGCTTTTTGGCCTGCCAGGAGAAGCACCAGCTGGGCCACCCCTCCTCTGCGTGCCACGTGCAAGCGGCTCCTCTGCGTTACAGCCTTCTGCACTTTCTTTTCTGTTTCTTTTTCTCGGTGCTCAGGAGCGATGTTGGAGAAGCGAAGCCGGGCCCTGCACGGCGGGACGGCGCGGCCCCGGCCCCGGGCCTGGGCCCGGCCCGAGGCGGCGCG